CTATTGTAGACTGGGACTTAAACCCTAAGCTTTAAGAAATTGACTAATCACAGTCGTGTATTCTACTCATACTTGACCGTGATTGGTCAATTTCCTAAAGCTTAGGGCTTAAATCATCTATTGTAGAGTCCCAGTCTACAATAGAGATTTAAGCCCTAAGCCTTAAGAAATTGACTAATCACAGTCGCGCATTCTACTCATACTTGACCGTGATTGGCCAATTTCTTAAAGCTTAGGGCTTAAATCATCTATTGTAGACTGGGACAGACTGGGACTAAGAAATCAATGGCTGCGTTCGGCAGGAAAAGCTGCTTTGCAACTGTTGTAAAATTCGTGAATCTGATTGGTGTGTTCTCTCAATCTTGTGTGAATTTAAGAGCATACGCCAATCAGATTCATGAATTTTACAACAGTTGCAAAGCAGCTTTTTCTGTCGAACGTAGCCATTGAGCGCTCGTTCAACAGTTGTGTCTGCTGAACGCGGCCAATGCCTGTGTCCAGCAGAAGTTAAGCCCGTTGCAGACGATGCTATTTCTCCTGCTGGATTGCTTGCAATTTAGTAAATTACTAGGAATCCTGAGTGCTGAGTGGTGCAATGATAGTAATTTACTAAATCACAAGCAATCCAGCAGGAAAAATAGCATCGTCTGCAGCGGGCTTTAGCGCTTGCTAAGCGCTTTGCGTTCATTGGATTATACTTTCAGATCTGTACTGAAATAGAGCTATTCTTCTAGATCTATCCAATCAGCATAAAGCGCTTATTAAGCGCTAACTTCTGGAGAACACAGCCACTGATTCTCGGTTCTGTCTACAATGGTCGTAGTCGTAAGAATAATCGACTGCGATTGGTCAATTCTTATCGAGCGACTACGACTACGACCATGGGCTTGTTTTCTGTTCCTGCACTGGTGAACTAGTGCAGTAAGCTAGAATGAGAAAAAATATACTTGTCTTACTCCAATTTATTGCACTAGTTCACCAGTGCAGGAACAGAAAACAAGCCCCATATTGTAGACAGTACCGAGAATCATTGTAGCGGAGGCTTTATATGTCTATGGCGCTCGTGATGTTGATTACAGCCTGAAGAGACCAACTTAGCACTCTTAGCAGTCCACGATTATATAGTCAAAGGTTTAATTTTGTACCTTCAGGCACCTTCAGGGCTTCAGATACAATCAGATACAATTTTCGTACGAGCAATAATGGATCAAGTGTACAAGCTCTACGATCGTCAGGCATCGCCCAAAATTAACATAAAAGATTACTTTCAACAGTACAGTGAATTAATCAAGTCGTCAATGTATCATGAGGTCGATAAGCAAGGCGACGAAAAAGTTTCTCAACTTATGGGCGGCGATCTCACACGGGGAAGAGTGAATTTAATAAAACATTATTGCAGGTATTTTATATTACGATATGTAACAAACAACGCTAGATTTTTTTAAACAAAAGTGACTCCTGTATATCAGCATTAATCTCGCAGCATCGATAATTTAACATTGCCAGCGGAGGCTGCCAATGCAAAAGAACGGGAGGAACAAGAATATGTCAATATACCTGATACAGTCTCGGAGAATGTTCCGTTGGAAACAATTAAAGTATTAAAGACCTTGTCTAAGGAAACTGTACAAAAGTCAAGATGGCTAACAAATGGCATTCCTGTAGTAAGTAATTATCTCCATGAAAGATACATTGAGATATGCAGAGTAATAGATTTACTAAAATTGAGTTGAATGATAATTACAATATTATGTGACCAATCATTTTGCAATTACAACTGCTACTTAAAACCTGTAGCATTGAGATAATAAAATTGGCTTTTCCACAGGAATACGACTACTCAAGGCTGCACAATTATTCGCGCGATGATTCGGTACAGCCAAACGAGGAGTTTTTAGTTTATGTCAGGATATACGAACCGTTTAAAAGCTACTCTCGTTACGTCAAGTATAAAACAAGTCTTCCAGTTCTCAAGCTCAAAAGCATCATTTCGGTATTGGGATGCCAGACTCTTCACGAGTTACGTAAGAAGATAATGTGTCAGTCTGATTGGTCAATTACAAAGGACACCAGTGAAAATCCACATGAAAAACCTGGACCGATGGCAAAAGTTAGCTATCCTTCAATTTAAAGCTTTATCTTTTCTATAATCTGGTCCATGTTTTCGTTGCATGTAAAAAAAAGAGAAAAATTAATTGCATCTTAAGTTAAATAGGATCGTTACAATATAAATCAAGCAAACCGAGAGTGCCTTTAGATCCAAACAAGATGTTGGTAGTCCAATAATCTAAAATGTGAATTTATATACCATTTTCCACCTGTGCGCCGGTTAATTTCTGGACATAACATAGGTTCAATTAGATGGAATGATTGTCATCAGTAAATTCACGTATTAAATTGATAAACGATTTATAATTAGTTAAAAAATGCTATATTTAGCATTCAGTACCCCCTCTCCATACTATAAAGAAACTGGTGCACAGGACGAGGTGGAAAACAGTATATGAATTCCAGGGTTGGGTAAGAAGAAATTAAAAGTTAAATTAGTTTTATCTTTACATAAAATCTCAGAGACTCGCGATCACGTAAATTGCGTTGAATTTCACGATCAAAGTTATTCATTCCTAAAAGTTCATAACTTCAGACGTCAATATCTCTTGAACGGAACATTTACGAGCATATTTCCAGAGGAAAATTTTTCTTGCTTTGAGGTCCTAAATACATCTTTCAAGTTTGGCCATTTAACCCAGGAGCACCCTGTATATGCCTAACCCTGATAAATTCATATTTTAAATTATTATTGGGCTACCAACATCTTGCTTGGAGGCGCTCTCGTTTGTTTGATTTAATTGCATCTTGTTCGCTTCTAGGATCTATACCCATCGGGATTCTTTTACATCGAGGATACATTTTATAACGATACTAGCGCGCAAAGTAATGTTGACTACAGTGATGTAATATTACAATGGGCAGCAGCTCGCGACATAGGCCCATTTAAAGTCTCCACCATGGACGCGAAGATAAATTCTCTTTGTACAAGGTTTGGCTTTCCGTGGGTTTACCAGCATCAAGGTTCCTGCGAACACTTGATTATACTGACTGATGCCAGGTAATCCTTATTATATTATGTTCCACACGTTTGCGTCGCGTTTTATGTTTGATCGTTCCTACTACTTTTTTATATTTTATCTCATTGACTGCGTAATTTCTTATATCATTTATACTCCGTTATCTGTTTTGCGTTCATTTATATCTTTTTATACACTGAAGCTGTGTGTGGTCCAGTTAGGATCGAAACGTCTACTGTCTTTTTTTTAATAACTGCTCTGTTCTCTTTTCCTCACCCCCGGCTTATATCTTATTCGCCTCCGCTCCTTACCTACTTTTTCCTACTCCCTCCTCGTTTCTGTCTCACGCTCTTTAACTTTGCACCGCTCACTTACATATCTGCTCCACACTCGCACCTCTAACCAAGTCCTATTTACTGTCTATTTTAATTAAATAATTTTTTACATTATAACCCTGTCTAGGCTCTGAGTCCCTTCTATTATTACTTCGATTTTTATCATAGAAACCATTGGTATTTACTTATTATCTTAACTTTGACTTAATAAAGAGATCTAGTTTACAGCCATAATTCTTATATGTATAATAGTGTTGGGAAAAACCACGATAAAAAAAACAGTGATGTTTTACCATTGAGTCGTGAAACTTGTGTTATTGGTAATAAATCATTTAACGTTCATTAATGAATTATTCTTTTCATAGGTTGTTAACTGTAGATGATGTATTGGTATCGTCTGCTTATCCAAGAATAGAAAGACTAAGGACCGTTGTTGGAAAAAACTGCATCTACTGTGGAATATTTAATGTGCATTGGATTGTAACGGAGCACGATAGAATACCGCATGACATAAGTTATTTCTGCAATAAATGTTTTATATCGTATAATTATGTTGATGGTAAAAAAGTCGGAAATTTTAAAGCGTACAGTTATCCTTGTATACCGCAATTGGTGTCGATACGAAAGCCTAGAAATCTTAAACAAGACACCTAATTTTAAAGTAACAGTTTTATATATGTATACAGGGTCAATCTTATTTCCTGCCCCAGCCTCTTACTATGAGAGATGGATTACCGACTGCAATTGTAGCCAACTCTGGAAAAATGGAAAATCTCGTTATATATTTTTTAATAATGTAATATCTAATTATATCTCTCAGGATACAATTAGATGTTATATGATTGAGACGTATATTACGAGATTTTCTTCCATTTTTTCTCGGGTTGGCTACAGTTTCGGACGGTAATCCATCTTATGGTAAAAGGCTGGAACAGGAAATAAGATTCATCCTGTATGTATATGCACATGTACGTTTTATAAATATATTTAATGTACAAGTAATAATATTATTTTATTGACACTTTTAATGTATACAATCTTTGCAAGTTTTCCTTTGCACTGTGTAAATCTGGTTTCAATTGCAATGCTTTCTTGTACATGTCCTCTGCCGCGTTTAATTTATTCCAGCGATGATACAAGACACCTAAATAAGACATTTCTGATTTAGTATATTATTCACATTTGATATACAGGGTGTGTCCTAATTCCCGGATGTCCCGTAGATGGTAGACAGACCGGGGCGAACTGAATAGAGAAGTCCTATAACATTTTGCAAAATTCGCAATAGTTATCGAGAAATTAATTTTAATGTTTGAGCGAATGAGAGCGCAGAAGACGGCAGGCCGGACTCGGCAGACAACGGTGGGGCATCATCTAATAGCGGGAGGTGGAGCGGCGCGCCGAAAGTTTTTTTTTCTTTGGATTTTCCCTCTGCGGGAACGCCGTCAACCGTTAGGTTATTTAGCGTAACCGAAAAAAAGTCGCGCAGCAAGCGGCTAGCTTGAGTATACACTCGCCGCGCGTCGTTCGCCGCTCGACGCTCGGCTCTCGCCCCTTGCTCCTCGTCGCGACGCTCTCATTCGCTCAGACATTAAAATTAATTTCTCGATAACTATTGCGAATTTTGCAAAATGTTATAGGACTTTTCTATTCAGTTTGTCCCGGTCTATCTAACATCTATGGGACATCCGGGAATTAGGACACACCCTGTATATAAATGGTATGTTACATGCCAAATAGACATACTTTCTCAATGTTAGTAAATTTAATAAACTTGATGTCTTTCTTAACAGCTGTGTTTTGATTTCAGAAAACTTATTTATCCAAAAAAAGACATTGATCCGAAAAATACGCTTGTCTTAATATGTAGAGGAAAGTTCCCTGTTATGAGATAGGCTCGTAATATAAGATAACGGGATTTCTGTTAAATAGGCATCATTTGTTGATTCCGCTATAAATTTATTATTCTTGGAGCAACATCTATTTAGTGGGAAATTCATTGTTAGATTGTGTAACCGTTGCAAAAAAAGATTTGTGATTGAATTTGAGTGTTGAAAACCTGCTGTCTCATATTAGAAATTTATAATAGAGGATTTTCCTCTATATACACATAAAAATTTGGCTTTTCAAGTCAAAATTTTTAATCAGCTATTGCAATCAGTGAGTATTCCTAATGGATTAGTAACCAAACACAGGAATTTGATATACATACATATATGATGCACAATAATTTATATTATGTATTAAATATCTTAGTATTCAATGATATTGTCATATCAAATTTCTGCCTTAAAACTTGTATCTTTCAACAGAATAAGAGAATATTAACAGAAAAAGAGACTTGGCATGAAATATTCTCCATTTCTCGACATACCCAAGTTTGCATAAATCATAGGAGCCGTAGGATCTCTCGATATCGCCTGCTTGAATCGGATTTCCGCGTCCTCGTATTTTCCCTTTTTCCCCAAAATGTTAGCAATATTAAAATAGATAGAAGCATGATTTGGAATAAATTTCAAAGCCTTATTTGCCACTTTCAATGCCTCTTCTGTTCTATCTAAAGTTATAAAATATTAAAATATACAATATACACTACTAAAAAAAAAATAGGGAACACTTTTTATACCCTACAAATTGGGCTATTTTCAAACCACTAAAACTCGGCGAAAAATCATCGTAGACACAAAATTAAAAGAGCATTTTAAAGATTGAAGTTTCAACTTGAAAACCCTATCAACGATTTATTTAAATATCAGTTCATTTTCATCGTTCCGTGCTTTAAAAAAGAATACATTGTTTTGTTCCTTAAAATTACATATGTTTGACACCCTGCAGCTCGATAAAAAATTTTCTCTCGACAAATTCGATACAAGTTCCACAATCTACAGCATTTTACCTACAAAATGCTTTTTAAAATTTTCCTACAATTCTTTTGACCGAGTTACATGACTTTGAAGCGAACCATGCATTTTCTTGAAAAATGAATTGCAATTTACCGCCAGTATTAACGTTAAAGATGAATATAAAGATGAACATATTTAAATAAATCGTTGATAGGGTTTTAAAGTGGAAACTTCAAGTTTTAAAATGCTTTTTAATTTTGTGCCTACGATGATTTTTCAGCCGTGTCTCAGTGGTTTGAAAATAGCCCAATTTGTAGGGTATAAAAAGTGTTCCCTATTTTTTTTTAGTAGTGTATTTAGCACGATAGTAATTAATGTATGTGAAGATACAATATTAATTTAAATACAAACCCAAATCATCTAATAGTAGTACCATATTCGTCCATGCTCGTTTATGTGTGGGTTTTTGCTTGGTTGCATTTATCCAAGCTTTCAACGCCTTGTCGTATTGCTTTCGTTCCAGATACTATCGTCATAAATTTTGAATTAGTAAATTAATGCTAAAAAATAATATCTCAAAAATAGATAAAAATTTTATTTTACCATTATACAGTACTCACTAATACGCCCAGATTATAATAACAATCTGGATAAGTTAATCGATATTGCAGAGCCATGAAATAGCTCGCTTCTGACTCCTCGTACCTTTTCAATGCTGACTGAACTATACCTAGATTCATCCACGCCGTAGAAAAATCCTTCCTAAAAATCACATGTCTTATGCGAGATACTGTAATTATAATGTACACGTTTATTTTATAATTTGTCACAAACGGAAAAAAAGAGAAAGATTATATGTAAGTATGGATTATATGTAACATAATTTTATACAATCTCTCATTGTTACAAATAAATAAGGCATTTATAAGTAAGACGCAACTCATCTATCTCATGTGATGACATTTAACTGAACTTACTCTAAATTAACAGCCTGTTCAAACAAATTTACAGCTTCCAAAAACTGTCCGTCGTCTTTGAGCAAATTGCCAAGATTGTTCATAGCTTGAGCGTATTTTGGATTTAATCTGTGTAGCATAAAGAACATAAATGTACAACGCGGTAAAATTTCTCAAGAGAAGGAAAAAAAATTATATATTCTGCATACAATACCGTAAAGCCTCTTGATATTCCAACTTGGCAAGATCAACATTTCCTGCATCCGCAGCATTTTTTGCGATATTATAATGTACTTTTGCATTCAAAGGGCATACATCTAATGCTGAGTGAAAAAGCAGTCTCTCATTCCTCCATTGGCCACTCCTTATCCAAGAACGTACAAACAGTAATACAATAAGCATCACGTATGCCAGCAATGACGTCTTGGGGAAGAAAAATCGAGCAGAAAGTTTCTGCAGGCCAATAATGACCAGTAAGCAATATCCCGCCGAAGGAATATATAATACTCTCTCTGCCAAAACAAATCCAACGTTGAAGAAAATATTACTAGCTGGCAGAAATGGACAAATCAACATTGTAAGACCCATAATTATGTATCTGCAAAGTTTAAATACTTCATATTATTGCGTGTATATTATTAGTGTGCGCGTTTGCGTCGCGCGTATGTGTCGAACATTCGGTGTCAAGCGAGCCATCCTTGTTTCACAATATAAACCTTTTTTTCCATTATATACAGGATGGTCCATTTAACTCTGCCACCCCGAATAATTTGGTTATTATTGATTATACAGAAAAATGTCACATGGAAGAGTTATTGTAATTGAAGGGGGAAAATAAGTTTTTGAAGTTGATCCAAATCATCCAAAGGTCATATCTTCTGAGATTTTGGTGGTAGCAATGTTTTTTTAAATGGGACTACCTATTTTCTTGCTCACTACAAGGAAGCTGACATCGAAACGCGTTCAACCATGTGTAATAACATGACCTTCGAATGATCTTTGGCTAAAAAATTTATGATTAAATGATGGAGGTGGAAATTCAAGAAGAATAAATTGTAGTGGCCAAGTCAGTACTTTTTTCACTTGACTTATTATAACGTGTGCTCACAATGTTGTCCATCAACCTGAATGCACTTGTCCATACGCATAATGAAGGATTGCCTAGCCCTGCTCATCATTTCCGGAGCAACACTTGCACACGCATTGGTGATACGTTCCTTCATATTCCGGTTGATGACAACATTTTGAGCACATGTTATAATAAATTAAGTGAAAAAAGTACTGACTTTGCCACTACAATTTATTCTCCTTGAATTTCCACCTCCATCATTCAATCATAAATTTTTGAGCCAAAGATCATTCGAGGGTCATGTTATTACACATGGTTGAATGCGTTTCGATGTCAGGTTGCTCGTAGTGAGCAATAGGTAGTCCCATTTAAAAAAACATTGCTACCACCGAAATCTAAGAAGATATGACCTTTGGATGACATTCACTTCAAAAACTTATTTTTCCCCTTTAAATGCACAATAACTTGTCCATATGACATTTTTCTGTATAATCAATAACCAAATTATTCGGGGTGGCAAAATTAAATGGACCACCCTGTATAATATAGAATGTTATTAAACTATATCTCATATCCCATAGGTACAGCACAGATGGTTGCAGTTACATTGCAGAAACGTTGCAATCTTGCAGATTGCAGTGCAAAGACATTGCAGGGATATAAAGTTGCAAACTTTCGATAGCAATATTGCAGCAATGTTTCAAAAATAATAAAAATACTATATTTTCTATTTAAAAAATTTTTCTAATTACGAGAATTTTTTAATGTTATTTTCGTTGATACCAATAATGCGCGAATTATTAAGTACTTGATCAGTGCAGCGTTGCTCGCAATCTCCATTTATTGCGGAGCGACATAATCTCCTTAGGTTGCTTCGCAAAAGCTTGCTATGCCTTGAAAAAGGCCCGGATGCATATGTAATTAGTAAATTCTCTGTTTATGTACAACAACAAATTATTCCAAAAATATTGCACTGCAACATTGCTATAATGTTGCACTGCAATCTCTCTGAGGGCAGACATTTCAACGTTGCCGCAATCCTCCAGAAACGTTGCAGCAATGTTGCGCAACGTTGCTGCAATATTGCAATCTTGCAATGTAACATTTCTGCAATCTTCCTGCAATCTTTCTGTGCTGTGTAGGGCAGTTTAGGAATAGTGCTCCTATCTATCTTGCTATTTCGAACATGTTCTCGGTTCTCATACACGTTCTCATACACGCTCTCAACACTCCAACAGTAAAAATGCTTCTTGTTGGAGAAATTGCTTTCTGGGACTGATAACAACCGATAAGTATAAATAGAATGCAATTTCTCCACCAAAAAGCATTTTTACTATTGAACTGTTGATTGAAACGTGTATGAGAACAGAGCACATGTCCGAAATCGTAAGATAGATTGCAATTGGAGTACCATTTCTAAACTGTACGAGATAACATTTTGTAACTCGTAGGTTTGAGTGTAGACACGTAGAGTGTATGGTAGAAGAGCCAAGGATACATTTCAGGCACATTATATGTACCGTATAAGTAAAAACCTCCATTTTTGTGGAACAAGGTGGACACACACACGACATGTAAATAACATGATTTTTTACTTAATTTTGAATTTAGTGAACAGTTCCATCCTTCATAAGATTGATAGAAACAAAGTCGATTTGTCAAGTAGTTTGCGTTTATGCCTCAAAGTTGGTGTGTTTGACATTTCTAAAAAACTAGAAGGCACTAAAATTCGAAAAATAATCCAATTTTTTTTCTGAAAGGTAAAATGGCCACGGAAATAAAATCTGAGTTTAACAATGTTTTTTCTCACCTTCACTTTCAACTGTATGTTCGACAGGCAGTTCTTTCCACTTTCCTAAAAGTGTCACAACTTTGAGGCGCTGTCGCACACTGAAATTTTGATATCAATAGCTGCATTCAGCAGAAAAAAATTGCTTTGCAACTGTTGCAAAATTCACGAATCTGATTGGTGCATACTCTTAAATTCACTCAAGATTAAGAGAATACGTCAATCAAATTCACGAATTTTACAAAAGTTGCAAAGCAGCCTTTTTTGCTAGACGCAGCCTGGCAGAAATTTTTCCATTCTCTTGCGAAAAATGGAATTGTTCACTAAATAGAAAATTACATAAAAAATCAGGCTAACAACGTATTACTTGAGAAACTTTCTGAACGTAAAAAGTTTTTTTACATTACCTCAAAGTGTTGTCCTTGTGAGAGACGACCGTGTACATAATTAACGCTCCAAACGCGAGCCAGAAAATAACGATGATAAACGTTCTGTAGTCATAGCCAGTAATCAGAGTTACGCAGCCCATTGACCAGTCAAAACAGAGCCATACAGGACATACAAGTAACCACATATTCAGGCAATAGATATAGTTAAAATTGAGTATGCGAAGCAACGTGTTGTTCATAAAAGACGCCGGATTATCTACAGACTGAAATTTTGGAGTCGAGAACCCCATAACACTGAACCTTAGAAGCAAAAGTATTATTGCAATGAGAACGAGCATGACGAGTCGTAATAAGACATTTTTATGATCAATAAGATTATTTAAACTCTTATTAGCGTGCTTAAATGAGAGAGACCTAATTATGTCAATTGGATATATTTTGTTGACGATAACTATATCGTATATTGCGCAAATACCCTAAAAGACAAAGTATCCTTTACAGTTACATAAAAAAAAAATTTACTCAGACACGCGACCTTGGTACTCACAATGGCAGTGATTCCAGTTTCTTTGCATAGCATTGCTGTTGTTATGCAAACGGCAAAACTGAACATGGCGACCCATACGTGTAATAAATTTCTTGCGTGTATCATACAGCTGTACAGCAAGATCGAGAGCCATGTGAACAAGCTGCATAATAATTCAGCGCGTCCAACAATTCCAGAGACCTGATGTACAGACGTGCAAGCACAATTGTAACGCATTTGGATGCAAGCCCGTGATCAATAGGCGATTTTTGGCGATTGTTTGATACATCCCAGATAGCACACACAGTTCTATGAATATTCTTTTAGAGTGCAAATATTCTTAATTTCAGAATATTCCAATCGAATATTATATAAATATACAGGGTGCTCCCGGATTAAATGGCCAAACTTGAAAGATGTATTTAGGACCTCAAAGCAAGAAAAATTTTCCTCTGGAAATATGCTCGTAAACGTTCCGTTCACGAGATATTGACTTCTGAAGTTATGAACCGTTAGGAATGAATAATTTCGAAATAATTTAGATTTATCCTCTTTATTGCTTTTTAATAATAAAAATTTAATTATTAAACGTTTTGTTCAAAATGATGGCCTCCAGCTTGGAGACATGCATTGCGCCTATCGATGACAGAATGAGTGGCTGACTGACATTGTGCGTCTGTAATTTCGTTACACGCCTGCACTATCCTCAGTTTTAATGATTGAAAATCATTAACAGGCACTTCATACCAGTTTATTCGACGAAAGCATTCAACGAACTAAGTACGATGATACGACGCTTTGTTTGCCATGCAAATAAAAAAGCCTATCAATGACCTTCGATTTCGTAAACAAAGTTCCGTCGTACTGAATGTTTTGCGATTGGTTTTTAAATCAAACAAATTATGATTTACAATTCTCGCAAAACATTTTATGGACAGACGAAGCCATATTTACCAGACAAGGAATTCTGAATCAAAGAAATAGTCATATTTCGAAATTATTCATTCCTAAAAGTTCATAACTTCAGACGTCAATATCTCTTGAACGGAACGTTTACGAGCACATTTCCAGAGGAAAATTTTTCTTGCTTTGAGATCCTAAATACATCTTTCAAGTTTGGCCATTTAACCCGGGAGCACCCTGTATATAGATTATTACAATTAGAAATCGTATATTCTTAACGAAGAAGAACGTTTTCAGAATATTCGTCGACAATGTCTTTAGAATATTTGTTCAGAATAATTTTTTAATATTCATCGAGTTTATGTACTACGCATTGTTTATTGTGTAATACACTTATCTTATGCAAAAGGCAGTGAAATCTGTGATCATACCATGTATAACCGACACGCTATATTCGATAGATTATTCTATTCACATTTGAGAAACATTTATAGTAGTCGAATATTCTATGAATATAAGATAAATATATAAGAATGACCTATGGGATATTCCAAATATTCTTGAAGAATATTCTTAAAATGTTCATAAGAGTGTCTTGTGCTATCTGGGATATACCAAAGTGTACCAGAGCGCACACTTGATGTCATGAATGCTTTTACACCTCAGAATAGCCGTTAAGTTCAATATATTCCAATAGAAAAATTCATTTTATTAAAAATAAATTTTTCTATTGGATATCTTTGACCTCTTTCTTCAGGCATTTCTAAAAGCATTCATGACACTGAGTGTACACTCTGGTATACTTTGGTCTATATGTACCAGTCGCCAAAAATAGTCTAATGATGATGATAATAATAATACACATTGTAATTACAGCCTCCGTATGAATTGGATGAACCGCAAATAGAGCTGCGGCATAAAACGCACTGCTATGTCCTTCTGGCCCGAGAAATAAGTTGTATACGAATAGAGTCAACAGACAAATTGTACTGTGTAATATTACATTGACTACATGAAAGTCTTGCGAAACCAAGCCTTGTCGTAACCAGAATTGTAATCTACAAGAATAGAAAGAGAAAGTGTATTTTTAATAACATTTTATTTACTAGAAATAAAATATATGTAGTAGAATATTGTATGCATCCATTGATGTACTTGCGAATTTCTTTTCTACCTGAAACTAAGGATAGTAAAGGGTCTGTACGATTTGTGGCTTTGCCTATGGGATAACTTGGTACCCCAGAAATCATTTTGGAATATATCCCAGAACGGTGTGTTGTCACGTACATCGTTGTTATTGACGATAGCCTCGGTGTCGTCAAAAACAAAATCTCCATCGTAACTGTTAACAAAACAAAGGGACAAAATCACAATTATCCAAGGAGAAAGCGATGATGGTACAACTGAAAATTAAGAAAATATTTTGTTAAAAAGTGTTTATTCTCGTGCGTGTACATTTGTGTAATTCATGCGTCTAAGTCGCAACTCACCTGGCAAATGAGTCGCTATTTTACTTTTCATGATATTTTAAATGACAAACAAACTTTTTCTTCTTTAAATTTCACTGATACTTTCTTCTTTCTCGGAATTAACACTTCGTGGTTATATCTAGTTAAAGGGATATCCATGAGTCACGGTCTTAAGCCTATGACACAATGTCAGGCAACAGGCAACAGGAACAGGGAATAGAATTTCTGACGCGTTGGATTGGTTGGAAGAAAATTTTCGACGAATCCAACGCGTCAAAAATTCTATTCCCTGTTCCTATTGCCTGTTGCCTGGCATTGTGTGATAGGCTTTACACACAATATTCCGTGCTTTCCAGCAAGCGACACAAGTCGACACAAATGTCGTTCTGTCTTTCTTCGCATTCAATGAATAATAAAGACAGAACGACACTTGTGTCGACTTGTGTCGCTTGCTGGAAAGCACGGATAATATAAGATGTCTGTGGTCTTAAGCCCAATGTCCACGATCCAAGAACTGTGTCAAAGTTCTAGTTTCGAGAAATGCACAGCCAATCAACATGCAGCTTGTATGGAATAGCTGCAAGCTGATTGGCTACGCATTTCTCGAAACTAGAGGCTTGTTTTCTGTTCCTACACTAGTGAACTAGTGCAATAAATTGGAGTAAGACAAGCATATTTTTTCTCATTCTAGCTTACTGCACTAGTTCACCAGTGCAGGAACAGAAAACAAACCCTAGAACTTGGATACAGTTCTTGGATCGTGAACATTGGCCTTTACATACAGGTCTTGCAACTCATATGGTGGGGGTAGGTCGCTTAGTGAGGAAATTTTGTATCTCCCATATTTGTAGAGATATTTCACCGGTCCGGTACTTTTTCCCTTTTTCCATCGCGTGTACAAAGATAGAAAGAGAAACTAAGACGCTCGAAGAAATGCGTGAAACAAGGACGATAGATGCAGCATACCCAACTTGCCAACGCTAAATGTTTTTTACTTTTCACGGTTGATAGCCCTGGGAATCTATAGCCGTCGCAAAGCAAAAGTAGGCGTGGTTTAGCCGAACCATTGAACTATAACCATACTGGAAGGAGCACTCCATTGTTGTCGTGCGGTCAGAGTTGTGCGAGAGAGATAGTTGAGTGGGAATGGAGCTATTCTTGTCTAACTAACTACAGCGATCCTCGCTGTAGTTAGTTAGACAAGAATAGCTCCATTCCCACTCAACTATCTCTCTCTGACCGCTCGATCCTATGGAGGGAGTAGGCAGTGCTCCTTCCAGTATGGTTATAGTTCAATGAGCCGAACTGAGCACACCATGTTATCCCTTCCACCATGAGCACACCATGTTATCCCTTCCACCATGATCTAAATGCACGTTCTGAAACTCACTAAAAACACCGTGTAGCAGCCAGTCTGTAAAAATAAAAATGGCAGACCAATCAGAGTAGAGAACACTATTCGCTCCCCTCTACCTTAAACTAGCCTCTACCTTAAACCATGTACCTACCATTAGCATGCTAGTAGTCGAGCTGCGTGTGCAGTATAACACTGTACTCTTCGACAAGGACTTTACTATACCTACCTATTTATAACCGAGGTGAGTTGTATGTAAAAATAATTATTAAAGCAAGGTAAATATTTATTTCTTAGTTAAGTACCACCATAAAGCGTCATATATTGAATTTGTACACTGAATGTTACCATATAGGCCTAGTTTACATCGTGCACTTGATACGCGTATCAAATAGTGTATTTGAACTGATCAGCCAATGACCAAACGAATTTACTAGTTATATTTACTATTTGTTACTATTTGATACGCGTATCAAGTGCACGATGTAAACTAGGTCATTCAGACGCCGTACAACAGAGTTCGTCGTAAGTCGCAATTAATCCCAGCAAACACAAAGTAACAGTTATCATAACTGTAAGTTAAAATTTCCTACTCAACAATATAACTGTTACATAACACACGTGTTATATAACAGTTATATTGTTGAGTAGGAAATTTTAACTTACAGTTATGTAACTACTGTTACTTTGTGTTTGCTGGGATGTATTTTAGCGTTGTGTGAAAAACTTTATCCAGTAGTAATAATAATAAATGCAATCGTGAAGTTCGAAAGTTACAGTATTATCAGTATTGTAATTACATGAGGTGTACCACTTTGAAGTTGTAAAGCCAACCGTTGCAACCGCCACGTGGCACGCCACGCGTAATGGTAATACTGGTGATACCGTAAATTTCAAGCCCCATAACTCCGTAAGTATTTAACGAAGATATCACATGTTTTATCACTAAACTTTTAACTTAACTTCTTATCGTGTATTAGGCTTAAAGACTCTTTTATTCAGTTCGTTCATACCCAGATAGCACCGAATGTTCCATGAATGTTTGTATATGATTCGAATGTTCTCTCTCAGGAATATTCGAATCATATACAAACATTCATGGAACATTCGATGCTATCTGGGAAGTTGGAGGGGATGATCCGTTCGGCCACGCGCGCGCGCACGCTCGCACACAAGCAACGCGCCGTATATACGTGTGCACACGTATTGGAAATAATGAACCGAATATTACCGAATCTCACCGGAAAGTGTCGATGTCAGATGAGTGATCCCCTTGCCGCGATTATCAGTTACCCCTCGTACAAAGGCTCCGTCTATAGATGTCTATGGTGTAAACTAGCTCTATGAGACCTTTATAATTTATTCAACGCGCGCAAACGCAGATCGCTAAGATTTCGACCGTAGTTTCGGTGGTTTCGGACTATAAGATTTGGTGATCCGCGGTATACATATATACAGATTAATTTTGAGATAGAATATTTGAAGTGTAGAAAGTGAAAAAAGTTTTTTTTAATTGAAAATAGTATGGAGATACTATAATAAACTGATGTTTGTAAATCCATTATTTAACATATTAACATTTGTTAGTTATATTACATTTTAATAGACAAATAAATATTTAATAATTCATAACGTAACCCATAAGTTCACTTTGTTTACAGATTTTTTTACTTTCAGGCCACAATCCTACCACAAGCATCTAATTAATTTTTCGTACTTTTTTTATATTGGTACTAATGGGAATCTTTGACTCACTTCACTCGAAAGTTATTAAGCTGTTTCAGCTTGATGGGAATATTAAGATAAGCCTAAACGTGTAAACGCAACTCACTTTAAGTAGGAGTTATAACATCGGCGTTAGTCCCAGTCTACAATAGAGATTTAAGCCCTAAGCCTTAAGAAATTGACTAATCACAGTCGCGCATTCTACTCATACTTGACCGTGATTGGCCAATTTCTTAAAGCTTAGGGCTTAAATCATCTATTGTAGACTGGGACTTACTAAATCGATGTTAGAAGCCGTGTAAACGTAGTCATAGTCAAAAGGAGAAAAGTTTTGGATCGGATAGTATATCGTAGTCATTAAACCGACTTATAAGCCACCGTGTAAACGTAGTCTATGACCTAGTTTACATCGTGCACTTGATACGCGTATCAAATAGTAACAAATAGTAAATAACTAGTAAATTGGTTTGGTCATTGGCTGATCAGTTCAAATACACTATTTGATACGCGTATTAAGTGCACGATGTAAACTAGGCCTATGTTCTGAATACGCGATGTGACCATAGACATATAAAAGATAGACTGCTTATGAGGTAGTGGGGGATGTCCTCCCGAGAGAAAAGGACAACACCAATTTATTTGGGTATCTATCTTCTTCTAGTGTACGTGATCACGTGATCGCCTTCAGATCACGTCCACTAGAGGAAGACAGATACCCAAATAAATGCATGTTGTCCTTTTCCCTCAGGAGGATGCCCCCACCTACTGGGTTCTACTGCCTCATAAGCAGTCTATCTTTTATATGCTATGGCTGCGGTCAAGCTATCGCTTCGAATGTAACGAAGCATTCGTCTTCTCTTTTCTTTCAGTAAAAACAGAAAGAGAGGAGAAACGCTTCGAAGTGTTTGCAGCGGCAGCTTGACCGCAGCCTATGTGTGACGAACGGAAGGCAGTCATGAGAGGGGGTAACTCAGGCGGAGACTGCTTACCGACGGAATCTTGGTGGGGGAACAGTCACGTGACCGGTTGGAATACTCTGGTCTAGACGTTCTGAAATGGCGTGACAAGCAATTCTTATGTCTTAAATCATTCAGTATCATAGATAGGAAATCAATGAAATTTGAATCCGGCTAACTTCTATTTAATAAATATTTAATTAAACTTATCTGGATCACTCACGAACCTTTTTAATTGCACTATAAATCCCAGTCTACAATAGAGATTTAAGCCCTAAGCCTTAGTCCCAGTCTACAATAGAGATTTAAGCCCTAAGCCTTAAGAAATTGACTAATCACAGTCGCGCATTCTTCTCATACTTGACCGTGATTGGCCAATTTCTTAAAGCTTAGGGCTTAAATCATCTATTGTAGACTGGGACTTAAGAAATTGACTAATCACAGTCGCGCATTCTTCTCATACTTGACCGTGAATGGCCAATTTCTTAAAGCTTAGGGCTTAAATCATCTATTGTAGACTGGGACTAAACGTCTTCATACGAAATACCAACGATTCCATATAAAAATTTTATCTAATTTATCTATTGGCGCTAAGTATACGGTAGAAAAATAATTAATTAATTACAAACAAACGAATGACTCACAAACCTTTCTAATTGCACTATAAATGTCTACATACGAAATACAAACGATTGCATATAGGAGTTATTTAAAAATACGTTCAGTCGGCGTCAAGTATATAGCGGCCTTTTCATTGACGCTACGATTTAGCGTCAAATATAGTCACGTGACAAATATAGTGACTAGGGCTGCGTTCAGAAACGTCACCCGAATGCACTGGTGTATCATTTTATCCTTGTTTAACATACGGTGAGCAACAAGGATAGAATAATACGCTGGAGTACTCGGGTGGTGTTTCTGAACGCAGTCCTTGCGACACCCAGTCACACCACGGCACACTGAAAAGTTGAGACGGTCTCAACTTTTCCCCCCCTACGTCGAGAAGTCACTAGAGAACTCATTTGCCGCTGGTTTCTAGCGTCAATCACTGAAATATATACTAACTGGAACGCGCGCTAGAGCCGAGCTGTGTGTACCGAGAGAGAGCATCGTCGAGTGGCGTCTGTCATTGTCTAGTACAGTTCGAACCAAAAGTTAAATCGAAGCGCAGCACAACTGCGCGAGATCGTGTAACCTCTGACAACGAGCTAATTTCTCGATCGGACTGTACCTTTCCGTCCCCACTCTCGACCACCCTATAAGCCAGACAATGACAAACGCCACTCGACGATGCTCTCTCTCGGTACACACGGCTCGGCTGTAGCGCGCGTTCCAGTTAGTATATATTTCAGTGGCGTCAATGAAATTGCACCTTAAGCCCGCTGCAGACGATGCTATTTTTCCTGCTGGATTGCTTGCGATCTAATAAATTACTATCGTTGCACCATTCAGCACTCAGGATTCCTAGTAATTTAGTAAATCGCAAGCAATCCAGCAGGAAAAATAGCATCGTCTGCAGCGGGCTTTATAAGCGAATTTGACGCGCGTCAACTGACGCCCATGAAAAGGCACCTTTACCGCGTCCATTGGGCAGGAGCCAATAGGCTCAAGCCAATCTCCCATTATTTTTCAGTGCACTGTTGGCCAGACTGCGCGCTAGTTTGGCAATCCTCAACTCGTGAGGTACCCGATTGCCGACATTCCGTTTTCTGTGTAATTGCGTGCAAATACATTTGTATCAAATTTGTGGACGGTCGCGAGAGAAGTATTCGTGCTCCATGCACGAATTTAAGTGAACCTTATCTGCACAGGTAGGCAAAGTTCCAGAAGACTCACGACCAAGAAGAGCGATCTGCCGTTATGATATATACCAGCTTTCCTCTTTCTCGCGCGAACGGGGTTTGGGTTAACCAGTTCATAACCAAAGCGCACTTAATGCGTATTATGCATGTTTATCGCCAGAACCGCGGGAGTAGCGAAAAGGCTTTGACGATTCTTCTTTACGCAGCTCGCAAATCTCGCGTATTTTCGAGGCTGAGAAATCGAGATCGAGAACGTCGCCGCTCTCGTCTAGTTCTCCAGGTTTTTTTTTCTTTGTTGCTTCGATCGAAAGCTGGGCGACTTCAAACGCGCAATATCGTACGCGTTGGATCACGAGAGAAATAACTTGTATCTAAACAGTGTTTGTGTGCACTGTCGCACCGATACGCGTAGTGTACGCCTTTGCAACGCATCTTGATGACGCTCGAAAAGATAAAGAGATAAAAATTTATCATTTTTATTTATACAGGGTGTCCTGTCCAGGCCCCGAATCCGCCGTAAGATCTTTCTAGACTCATTCGCCTCGATGTTTTTATATATTACTAAAAAATTATTGTGAATTTTGCAGAATGATGTAGAACTCTTCGAGTCAGTTTGCCCCGCTCTATCTAAACTTTACAGCAAATTCGGTCTACGCGGAACACCCTGTGTATCTTACAATCAGTACGTGATGTATTGTTCCACGAGAGACGAACCCTGTTTAAACTACTAGATAGAATATGAGATTACGTTAAATTACATGTAGTTTTGATATAAGTAAATAAGAGTCTCACTAATTTATGTCGAAATTGCATGCAATCTAGTGTAATCTGATCATATTCTATTTATTCTTTTAAACAGGGAAGACTGTCACATTTTGATTGAGAATTCTTATATACTTAATTGTAATGCTGCCATTATTTCAATTGATGTGATTAATTTAAGAATTTTTACTTGTAGAAGGTTTAATGGTTAAACTGTTTATTACAGCACAGATGGTTGCAGTTACATTGCAGAAACGTTGCAATCTTGCAGAGGCATTGCAGGGATATAAAATTGCAAACTTTCGATAGCAATATTGCAGCAATGTTTCAAAAATAATGAAAATACTATATTTTCCATTAAAAAATTTTTTCTAATTACGAGAATTTTATAATGTTATTTCCGTTGATACCAATAATGCGCGAATTATTAAGTACTTGATCAGTGCGGTGTTGCTCGCAATCTCCACCTATTGCGAAGCGACATAATCTCCTTAGGTTGCTTCGCAATAGCTTGCTGTGTATTGAAAAAGGCCCGGATGCATATGTAATTAGTAAATTCTCTGATTATGCACAACAACGACAAATTATTCCAAAAATATTGCGCCGCAACATTGCTATAATTTTGCACTGCAATCTCTCTGAGGGCGGACATTCAACGTTGCTGCGATCCTCCAGAAACGTTGCAGCAATAGTTGCTTTCCTTTTACATGAAAACTCAGATAAATCTCACTTGTGACGTTATAACTCAGTTGAATGCATGTTCCTTTTGATTCTTGAGAAGTGAGATTCAACTAGATTTAACTGTGTTTTTGCACACGATCAAGACCGTGTGCTTTAGTGAGTTTAATACACTCACATTAATGACGTCATATCTGAGTATAAAATACTCACATAACTGAGTGACTCAGTATCACTTGAGTGTAAAAGGAAAGCAGCTATTGTTGCGCAACGTTGCTGCAATATTGCAATCTTGCAATGTAACATTTCTGCAATCTTCCTGCAATCTTTCTGTGCTGTGTCGGTACACGGTGTTTGAGCTA